CAGCAGACCTAAGATTCTTAGGAGAAACAGCTTCTGCTTGAATTAGGCTTTCTATAACTTCAGCAATGTAATTAGGTCAAGTTTAACTGTGATTAATTTAATACTGGAACAAATTCCTAACACAATTGATGCTGTTACACTGAACTAAATGGTTTCTAAACCCGTTTAATAGCTATCGGGGAATTGGCACTAGAATTTCAGAAAAAGTCAAGATAGAGTAAGTGTATTTTTGGCCTTCTTTATGCCGAAGGAATACTGCAGCAGGTACAGAAGTGACAGTAAGGACACTTAAACTTAAGACACATTTATGCAAACCAGTGGGGATGCTAGCTTCAAAGTACAGGCAGAGCATTGCTTCAATTGATCTTCTCTTATAAATATTTTATGCTGTTCTTATGCTATGGGCATGTCCCTTTTTTGGGGAGGTGCGTGTTAGAGAAGAAAGGGAAGAGAGAGGGACAGAAGGATCCACCTCTGGCTTAGAGTCAGGAGTGCTAACACAGTAAGACCACATACTTTTAAAAGTCTATCCTATAAAGCTCAGAAGTCAAGAATACTGCACTGCAAATTAAGAACAATTATTTTTCCTGAGTGTGGGTTCAACGAGTCCTTACACTATTAAAGAGTAGGAATAGGAAACATTTAAGCTAGCAAGCAATAAAAATCTTGGAAGTCTCAAGAATGAAAGTAACTATAGACAAGATTACAGCAGTTATGAATTGGAGAGCTGAAAAGGCTAGTTAATAAAGACTATTTCAAAGTAAAATTGTCAAGTGTTTAACTGGGCTGCTAGTAAACATTCCTTTCATTAAGAGAATACTTTTCATACTGAATCATATGAATAAGCAATCTGGAACTTTAATATACACATAGTCTAATTCTGATTTCATATGCTGTTGTGAATCCAGAGTGATTCTGATGAAGTCAGTGCTGTATCAGCATAAAGTAAAATCAGAATTTTTCAAAGACCAGAGCACCTATAGATTTGGTTAGTGTATGCAGATAGAGAACTTCTATATCCAGTTTCCAGTTGGGTTCCCTTCATTAACACAGATCTAAAAAAATAAAACAAACCCAAAAAAACCCCCAAACCCCACACCAACTGCAGGGATGGTGAGCTACACATTAATTTGGACAGATAGAGCCTCACCTAAACTGAGACAACTTTCAGCACGAAAAAAAGATACAAATTCATTATTTGCATGAAACATGTATTGCAAAATTAAATTGGGATTCAACAATCTGCAACAATATCCACAGCTATATAGCATTTTAAAAAAATCTGTGGTTCTTCTTCCATTCAAGTAAAACTAAAACAAGAGAAAGAAATTTAAAAAAAAAAAAAATCTTAGAAGCAGCAAGTTACAATTCTTTCTGTAATACCACACCATTTTCATTAACTTGAAGCACTTTTGAGATGTCAAAGACATCAACAAAATACTTATTTCAAGTGGCTTTTTTGATAATTGTTTTTTGAATGGGTCCAGCCCAGGTCTGCAACCTGTACAGACATGCAAAACAGGAGGAATTCACAATTATTATTAAGAACAGACGTTGGAACATACCAGTTATAAAATGACAAAGCAAAAAAAATACCTTCAAATTGTCAACAAACATGGGCTACTGACCACTGAAGGGCATTTAATATTTTATACAAAAAGGAAAGTTGGAAAAAAAAAACCCCAAAACAACCCTCCAAACCACCAACAGCAAGGTCATCACATACAAAGTTTTCTACAAGCTTGGTAATTTCTATATTGCCCTTAATATGCAGGCTGATATCTTCTCCACAAGATGCCAAACCACTATCAAATTTGATTTTATTTAAATGCTTTTTTTTTATTTTAAAAATTATACTGAAAGTCTGTTTCACCTATGAAAAAACTACTAATGCACCCCTTCAGAACAGAAAAGTGTGCATATTAAGTCAGTACAGGTGCTTTTTCTGCTACCTTTATGAAAGCAAAGAATATATTTTTTAAGAAAAACTAAGCAGCAGCAGCCTGTTCTGTCATCAAATCAAACATAGTTTCACAGTTGAAAAAGTTACTGTTTTTAAATTTGTATTTCACTAAATCACCATTTCCTAATGCTTTGTAATAAAAACATATGGCCCAATCCTGGGCTCCTTGCTCTGGTAGACCTACTACAAAGTTTTGCAGAAGCAAGGTGTTCAAATTCAATTCAAGCTCAAAATAAGCTACTTAGTGTTTTGTGCAGCTGACTGAGAATAAAGGGAACATTTTCAAACTTCCACGAAGTGGGAATAGTTAAAAAATAAAAATCCAAATTCCAAGCAATCTCTGTAAAAATCTAGAGCTCAGTTACAGGTGCTTTCACAGTCTGTAAGCAGATCTTATTTCTGATACTGAGAACAGATGACATCCTCTCATTTACACAAATGTAAGTAAATAGTACCTCCACTATCTTCAGTGAAGTTACATCAGCACAAAACTGGCATAATGGGATAAGGTAATTAGGGTTGAATGCTTTGAAGCTTAAAAAAAGGATTTTTTTTTTCCTGAAACTCTGACAGAATGTTTCTCAAATGCCCATCCTGGTTATGGTAGGAACAACTACTTAAAACCCATGAGCTTCTCCTACTTTTTTTTTTATATTTAAAGGCTATAATTATCCCAAATCATATTATATCTGTATCACTATGAAGTTTCCTTTCTTTTACTATTTGATGTTCATAATAACTTCTACAGCTTGTGCACAGCATTTAGTTGCGGTAACTTTTGGAAACAGAGCCTGATTCCTCATACCTTTCTGTTTATGCAAAAAGGGTGCAGAACACTGTACGCTTGAACTGAAAGACATTTATACTCATATTTACAGAAGTAAATGGCTAGGAAGGGGCAAAGTACAAAAGAAGTTGGGCTCATAACACCCAATAAATTTGAGCTGATCTTTTCATCCAGGCTGGAAAATGCTGACCATCTCTTAGATAAATGAGGTAAAGCATTGTTTCAATACCAGATAAATAAGGATAATATAGCACCTAATGTGGCATTTGTGCAAGTTTCACTTGATTAAATTAAGAGTTACAGCCAACAGGGTTTCAGATTTTGTGAACTAGATTTAAATTGAAACTAAGTCATGTTTTAAAAGAGCTGAATCATTAGAGTGTGTGGATTGCAAAGTAATACACAGAAGGGTAATTTTGCTCTAGAAAGTATGACAAGGTTAGCAGGAGTTAAAATATTCATATGAACAAAAAGGAATATGTAACAGTCAATGAAAAGAGTAATGGGAAGTCTATTGGACTACTCCAAAATATTTAGTAGAACTAAGGAAATAAAACTTCACATTCCCCATACTATTCTTGGAACTTCCGTAGTTTTCACAAAAACAGGTTTCCCCCCACAACACCAAGTATCCATGTTGTGCAGTAATCAACTGCAGGATCTTGACTATGAAAGTGTCTTGAAAGACCAAAGTCTTGGCTTTACAATCCCCAAAGTCTTTCATAATGTAATTGATTGCACATTTTTAATATATTACAATTTGCTAAATGAAGCCAACCACTCATTACCTCATCAGTACAGCCTGCACAAAGTACAGTTTATTTATATACTTATATTCTAATCTAACACCAGCTGTCAGCATATTTTATATTACATGTGGTATTGCACTTTCTGAGTGGCACCTTGGTGCACGTTTGCAAGTGAAAGAGCTGAACCCCCAGAAAGCCCCAGACCTTTGGAATTCACTCCAAGTGCTGCCAATCTAGCAAGTTTAAAATGTCAGGGTGAACACCACCCTCAGAATCATGGGCTTCACTAATTAAAAAACCTGTTTAATAATTAGAAAAACAGTCCTACCTGAAGTTTTGCATATGGGCAATCTGAAATCCTCGGTACTCTGAACAGTTTCAAAAAGTGGTGCCAATTTAATTGATTGCACACATCGTAATAGTGTTAGAGGACAATAACTAGATTTACAAATATATATTACACACACACAAAACAGACAAAGCTATAAAATATTTGGTAACTCCACATGCTTTGAGCTAGCCAACGTATTTGCTGTATGTTGAACTGCTTATTATTGATCATATTGAAAATCTAAACTGCTGTTTCTGATGTATCTGTTACTGGATTAAACAACCACTTCCAAAGGAGGAAGAAAGAGGAGAAATGGTGGACCCAAAAGACTGAGGGTTTAAACATACGTTCCTTGAATAGCCAGCATATCACTTCAGTAATGTGAAGAGTGATGCCCAAAAATTTTTTGAAGAGACTTAGGCCAAGTTCACCTCTGGCATTAGTGGGTGTATCTCCCACTACTTCGATGGTACTTGTGTCCTCTTTCACCAGGGTTGAATTTGGTCCTAGGAGTATATCTGGTCACCTTCAGTGACGTTAATGGAAACGGGAGTCTTGGACAGACAGAACTGGGCTGCAAAATTAAAAGAGTGAATATTGGACAAATCATGTAAATAAAGAATATATATTAATAATAGTTCCTATTATATAAATAGCCTTTATAAAAAAATAATCTTTCAATAATTTTAATAACTCACCTTTCTTTAGGTTCTGGAAAACATGTATGAAAAAAATCTATTCAGTTCAAGTTAGATTAAAGCAAACCTAAGATGAACACTACAACTCTCTGTTGCACTAAACCCAATTCTGACCATTCAATTTCCAGGTTAGTCAGTTTTTGGGGATGATAGGGAGTTTCTTTGTGAAGGTATGAATTGCACCCCTAGAAATACTGAGCAGAAGAAACACCATACTGAACGGGCCTATTTCCTACTGCTTTCAGAAACTGTGTAGATGACAGACCCAGAAATCAAAGGGTCATCTAAACCCCGTAAGTGTTAATGCCTCTGAGCACATTTAAAAGGCACTGTCCTCTCACTATTGTTTTTAGATCTTTGAGCTTAAAACTCCTTCCCTTCAAACTATGCTGTATTTAAATATTCGCTATCACTTGAATTCTCTTTCCACTCTTCTCAATCCAGCATAGTCTCTACCTGCTGTACCAGATCTAAGGTAATATGTGATGGACTATGTTCATGCTAGCACTATTTTCTTTTTCCTTCTAATTTATCCTATCAAATGAAAAAAGGAAACATTCTTCCAAGTTTACCTTTTTGGGCTTAAGGCATAACATGAAGTCACACATCATACTAAAGCTTAATTTTTGAAGTGTACAATTTTAGTGCTATCTGAAACCCTGTTTTACATTATTTTTTGACAGTTGTCTGAACAGTTCATCTCTTTTCTTGCCATAAATTCTAATGTTGTTCACGGTTTGTGCAATTCCTATGCAACCAGTCTTTGCTGCTAACGGGTATTAACAGTGCAGTACCCACAAAGCGGGCTATCAGTTCTTGTTTTCTTTGCTTTCATTTCAGTTCAAAGCATGTTGCTTTATTGTGTGGAAGATCCAGTCCATTTTTGTTGTCCAGCCACCATGGTGAGCATCATTCATTTGCTTCATGAAGTACTCAAGAGCTTCCTGCTCAGTTTTGTCCAATGCAAGGGTCTTTCGAATGTACGCAATATCGTCAAAGGACTGCAGTTCTGGCATGCCTGAGCCAAGCATCATGGAGAAAAGATTTATGAAGAGATTGGCATGCTGCCGAATTGCTAGATAAGCCTTATAACACATCTCCTGAAACCTGGAAGAGACAGGGAAAAAAAAGCTCAGTGTATTTCCCTATTAGACACATACTACTTCTTCACCTCCAAAACAGTCTTCAGGTAACTGGACACTAAAAAAGTAGACAGTCTTAGTCTAATAAGAACACCATAATGTTGCTGAGAAAGTATCCTCATATTCCTGCTTAGGTTATCTTCATTTCTGTAAGAATTAATAGCGGTCAGACTAACACAATAGCCAAACTGAAGACAGGCTTTCTAGCCTTAAACCTCACTTGCAATTCATGCAAGTGTTCAACATAAGTTTGGGACTTCACAGAGCCATTTTAGTAATTGCTACTGACATTTCAGATTTCAAAGCACATTTCCTGATATACTGCTGCAAGCAGCACTTTGCTGTTATCATCAGAGATGCACTTCTCTCCTATAGTTTTACAATGGCATTAGCTGTTGCTCCTTAGAGACTCTAGAGAATACATAGAACACAGGGGCATTTGCTGTATCACAACATTGGGTGAGAAATGCTCGTTTATGCTGAAATCAGTCATTTAAGTCAAGTTAAGAAAAAAATACGCAAAAAAGCTTCACTGCAGCATTCAGACAGACACTATAACTTAAAATCTGTCTTCCCTGCTCCCAACATAATGAAATTAAGATTAAGATTGAAACCTCTCAAAGACTGATCTCTGGAAAGACAGATATTAGGAATGACTACAGCAACAGAATTTATTTATTTATTTATTATTATTATTTTAAAGTTCTCCTTTCTTAGCAGGTTCTGCAGAATGACACAAACTACACAGGCCAGCTGAAGAGCTGTATCACAGCAGCTATAGGAGAGAGAAGTATTGCTGAGTGACCAGCAAGGCTCTGATGCACATTATACTGACATTTAAGGATTCTCAGTTTTTGCAGTTATGCAATCCCAAGAGGATTTTGTTTTAAGTGTTAAATCAAAAAAAGTTTCTGATATTTAAAAATTTATCTTTATTGACATGCGTGCTGACCCTGCAAAGCTAAAGTGAGGTTTCACGAACCCAAGGCCATGTAAGCGCTAAGATCACCTACTGATTTACAAGTGGATGGCTGATCTTCAACTAAAGAATTAGAACATACCCACTGCAAGCCAATTAAAATCCTACTTTTCAGTTAGAAAGGCTAATTATTAAAGGTCACCAGTAGTAAAGTGCATTTTAGGTACAAAATACTCTGGAAGTTAAATGCTTAAAAAAGCTCACCTTTCAAACTCCCTTGTTTTGGTACATTCCTGGGCTCCTTTACTAATCACTATTAAAAAGTCTTGTGTTAAGACAAATGGCACACGTTCTCTTTTATAACCAAATTTTTTCTTCTTGTGATCGAGGAAGTGCCCAAAGTCAATGTGAAACAGCTTGGAAAGACAGAAAGGTATTTTAAGATTAGTAATTCCTCATTTAAATGATGTCATAGTAAAATTGATCATTTACTTCTAGTTCAGATGAACTGGTTTTTTTTGGTTTTTTTGTTTTTTTTTTTTAAAAACAGGCTCATATCAAAGTGAGAGATGACATTAGGCTATGTTTTTAGAAAAACATATCTTACTTGTCCATCATCTTTTACCATGATGTTACTATTGTGGCGATCACCAATGCCCAGTATAAAGGTAGCAACACAGTAGCCAGCACAAGAACGTGTAAACAAGTCAATAGCTGCATCATACCTATTGAAAACAAACAATTCAGATATTTTAATAATATAAAAAGTGCAGACTTTTTCTCCCCCCACCCCCCCCCACCCCATTAGGGAAGAGCCAACTTCTATCTTCTCTCAATGAAGCAGAGTTCCCGAACTTTATCACTTTATCAAAATAAGGAAGAAATTCAGCATACTCTAAGAAGAGAAATACTCACAGTTAGATCACAGAACAGTAAACTAGCTATTAAAGTGACTGTCTCTTCTGAAGGCCAGTAGTTTTCATTTTGATGAGCTACTGTTAAAATACAGACTTAAGCCATATCTTCATAATTCTGCCTCCAACTTACGCTTTACTGCTGAGAAGCCACTCAACCACCCAAACTCATAAAAGAGCTACAAGCAGGAATACTAGGCAAACGAGGGCGGCGGGGGGGGACCAAAACCAGATGGACATAACCTCCCACTTCATGAACTTTAGTTCTCCTGAAGTTTCCATCAAAAAGAGCACATGAACAAGAAAAATAAGCAACAGGAAATCTCACATTTCTCCTTTGTTCTTGTCCTTGAGCCACTGATGCAGTGTATGGCTGTTGAACTGCAATGCTCCTTTTAAACCTCCTTTACACTGAATCTGCATGATTGTATGAGAGCTTCTCACTACCTCGATGAGTCCCACACAGTCACCAATAGACAAACAACCATAAGGCAACATCCTGAAAAACAACGTGGTTTTTTTTAGAGTTAAGTTTTAGACAGCAAGCAACAGGCATGTTTGATAACCCTTATCAGGTAAGTGTCATCTTTTACTTACTTTAGGATATGAAAATCTGTTTTAATGTTTTATAGGTGTATTATCATTAGTCTTGTGGAAAAAAATGTACCAATTATTACTACAGTAACATGCCAGCCACTGTATCCACCAATGTCATTCTTCAGTTTTATATCAGGACAAAAGGTTAAGGCAAAAATTTATTAACATGTTCTTGGAGGCCTTGGGGAATACACTGGAAAAACTCTTAAAGAGACATTCAGCATGATTTAATGAGATCTATTCAACTATATTCAAAGTGAAGTACTAGAGACAGAATCTAAGCATTCAGAAAACAAATGTCAGGATTTCATGGGTTACTATAAAAAAGTAGGAGGTAATACTTTGTATGAAAACCAGCATGGGACCTTCAAAGTGAGTTTCCGAATATTACCTGAGCATATGACAAAATTGTAACTGGAATCTATAGTCAGCAACATTGCAATTTACCCAGATGTTAACGGACTAACTGTAAACAGATGTTTATTCAGGGACTCTTTAAAGAACATCATAAATCACTTTTTTTGTAATCTGTAAGTGAAACTCAAAGGATAATCTCAGTAGCCCATTTTCCTCTTTACAGGTAGAAGAAATTAATTCCTCTGCCTCTTTTGTCTTTCACAGGTCTCTTCCCTCACCCTCCCTCAAAGTCTGTATTTCTTCTGTTATGTTCAAAACATTTCATCTGAAAAAAACAACTCAAAACTAGCCTTTTATTCAAGAAAAATGGCCATTACCATGTTTAACAACCTCTGTTAAGAGGGTCATGTACCTAAAAGCACCCTTTTTCTCTCCACTTTTTGGAGTGAAAGTGTCATGCCTACAGAGTAAAACAGCCTTCTAGGAACACTGGAGTATCAAAAGGTTTTTGTGATGCCATGGTAAAAAATCCAGAAAAATTATCTATCATGGCTTTGTATTAGACCTAAGAATCTACAGAACACCAGTGCAATGTGTAGCCAGTGGCAGAGCTGACTGCTGGTGTTGCTGTGGAGGTGGGCTTCTCCTCTCTGGATTAACAGCACTTTATTTGCAGGTCCTAAAAGTATATTTATATCTATCTACACTTGCATTTTTAGATAAATGTCTGATTTGGAGGTCCAAGAAAAACATCTATTTTCTTAAGGATGTGGCATAAACTTTGGACTGTTAGACTTTCTGTACCATAGAGACATACAGTTTAGAGGCCTCAGTGGGATAAGTTGTGATTTCTAGATCCTCAAAAGATTTTCTTTTTGTGCGCTAGTGTAATCTGTAGCTTGCTTAAGGTTCAGAGTCCTTCACGTGCCTCATCATGCATGCTCATTTCAGTCTTCCAGTATAGCAGATGGACAGCTGGGAGTTTTTTGTTTTGATTTTTTTTTTTTTTAAAAAAATCAGGCTGTCACTTACACCATACCTATCCAACTTCTCTTCTAAAGCTCCACGTTGCCTCTTTAAGAAAAATGGTAGCAAGTGGTGGGAGAGGATCTATTTTTGCAGACTTCCATAGCTGGCTACTCTTCAAGACATGAGCACTGTGAACTGTAACTCTGCAAATCATTCTTGGACAAAGCCATAATTCTGCCACACATTACAATACTAGAGACAAAATAGTTGCCCAGACACATGAGAGGTGATGTAGACCAACAGGTCCTTTTGTTTAGACAATGAAGAAATGAGAACTGGGGGTGCAAAGAACATACTTGGTTTGACAGTGCAGAGGCAGCTCTGTTACACCTCCACCTAAAAACCTACCACACAGCAAACACATATTTGGAAGTGTAACCTGTCTAGCATCGGTTTTCCAGAAGCAGAATAGTTTATACTGAATGGCATTCTGCAGAAGGTACTGTACCCACAGACTATTTAAAGGTGGAGAAGCTGCATGCAAATCAGACTGGGTAATATCTGCTTGGTGTACTGAAATGAAGATACCAACTACAAAGAGTCGTCGCTGAACAGGGCTGCAAGTTTGGGAACTTGTTCAAAGCAAATCCTACAGATAACATCAGTAGACCATAGGGTGGCTAGTGTGTGTTAGCTCTAGTAGCCATTCCTGGTATGTAGATCCCTCATATCCACTTGATTTAGACTTAAGTATTTTTCAAATACGATCTTATCTTTACAGAATCCAGTAGTTTAGCTAACTGAAGATTATTAAAAAAAATATTAAAAATTGCTTTAACATGTACAAACATGCCTATTTATAGCATTTCCTTTATTACCCTTGGGAGAATAGAAGCAATCTCTGGTAACAAACCAATGCAAAACCCATTAAGAACAGTATTGCTTGAGAATGACCTCTAATGCTTACCGAAGATCAAGACCCTGATTTTGCCAGATGTTTTCCATAATTCTAATTATCTGAAGTGTCAGCATGTCCTGACGTAAGTCTGGAATAGTCAAATACATAGAGATTGCAAATTTCGTAACACCAGAACACTTTGTTACATCTTATTTTACTTTTCCCCCAAAAAATATGTCTAAAGGAAATGAGGCTTGCACAGTTTAGTGTAGGTTTTGTTTTCTCAATAGAGAAAAGCAGGTTTTAAATAGTTGAGAATCAATATAAACTTGTGGTAGCAGTTTCAAAGCTGTTTAAAATATACACTAAAAACATGACAATGGAATTACAGATTACTATCTGTAATATCTTGAAGACATTTTCAAGTAAAAAACCCAAAGTATTAAATACTATCATGTTCCACCTCAGCAGACGGAGCATCTTAGAACATGTAAAATTGTATGTGACTGAGACAAATATTTATTTGTGCATGCTTAATTTTTCTGGAAAAGAAAACTGCTTTGCCTAGATGAGTGTTTTCAATAAGTGTATTTTATATGGTTAGAAAAAATACTAAACAGTAGGTTAGGAAAATAAACAGGTATGTATCTTTTGGATTAGTCTTATTTTTCCTTACCATCTCCATTTTTAAAGATTATCTCATTGTTCTGAAATAACAATTCAGACATAATATCTGGGTTTTCCCAGTTCAACCACAGGGGTCTTTTTGCAGATGACATTATCCTGCACTCCTCAAGCCTATAAAAGAGATAAGATTTCTATGAAATAGGCACAATTTGACTCTCATACCATGTTTCTGTAATACTACTAAGTTCTCCCTGTTTTCTTCAAACTCTTTGAACTAGTATCAAATTAAAGATGCACGGGCAAGTGACAACCAACCACTTTTACTTTCAGCTTCAAACTTGAATTAGTAAGTGCGATGTTAACCATTTGCCAAGCTTAACAGAAGAGCTGGCTATATTGTAAATTTTCCTTTGGCAGTGTGTGTTGCCTACAAATGGAAAAAGGACTGCAGTTCCTGTCACCTTAAAGGAACAGCTAACTGTCACATTGTTCCCTAATTTGTTAAACCATTAGATTGAAACTATTTCACTCTCTATGAATTACTCCGCTACAAATTTTATTCAGTTAACTCTGAAGATACTAACATGTAGTATGTTAGCATTTAACCTTAATGTTGTTAATGTTAACATTACTAAGCATTTACTTAAGTATCTAGACGAATTTCAAAACTGAAGACAATACCGAAGATTTCCCAGTTGATGCGCAGGATTAAGAGGAGAGATAAAACCTTGTAACGCATCCATAAAATCTGGCCGTCTCATTTGTTCAACAAGAAACTTCATCTGTACCTGATAAATAATCACATTCAGGTTTTGAGAACACTAATTACATGTAAATGAAGGTAAGTATCAGATTTTAGCTTTGGTTTTAAAGCACGGTTTTGCACAGTTTCAACATAAGCAACTCCGCTTAGCCACATATTATACAAATTGAAACACTTAACTTTAGTTCTATTGCCTTAAGAGGTAGACAATGGCAATGCACACAGAAAATACTATAGTTTCTAGGGTAACATACTATCTATTGAAGTTAGCATTAATACTTTTCTAGGTAATCAAATAAAACACAGTTCTAAGTAATTCCTGTAACTCAACAGCAACAGTTTTGGTATGTGGATAGCTTATAATACCTTCTGGGTCTCATCTTTTTTTTCCTGCTTGAGAATATCTGTGAGGTTAATCAACTTCTCCATAGCCTCCACCTGCCTGCTCAGATGCTTTAGGTACATTCCACATGCTCGACAATAGGACTCCAGAAGTAAACCAAACCTCTGACTTACAGTTTTATTGTGCATTTCAGACCTACACAGAGAGGAAGAACAGTTACAGTTTAAAGACAAGACCACTTAGAGGTGCCAAAAATGAAGCTATACCTGTAACATCTTCCTGAAGGCTGCTTAATGGATCCTTCTTTACAGGTAAATAACTTGTATTGACCCCCCCAACTCATCTCATTTTGACTGGACTAATCAGACTTCAGTACCCTCTACAATTAATTCAGCACAGAGTTTATAGGCTTTTTCCCCACTCCTTCTGCCTCCATCCTGTCCTTCCCTACCCCTTGCCTTTATTCAAAACCCATACTTCCCAGAAACTTCGTACTAAACCTCAAGCCTTCAATTCAAGTTCCGGATTTCTTTGTTGAGAGCAAACCTAACCTGTTTCATTTGTTCCTTGTCTCACTTAGCCGATCCCAGAATATGGCTCCTCTAGTTTTCTTGTTCTTACCTACTCTCAGTCTTCGCACAGTCCTAAAATACATCCCCTCACACAAATTAATCAGACAACTTATTCCATTATCCTTGATGATTACCAAGGGAAGTAGAAAACTGCAGGCACAACAGAGATTCCTTGCTTCTATTTCTGTGCCTGATCACACTATCTTAGAACAGCATTTTTACGTGAGACCTAGCTACAATCCAGTATGCTGTAGGTTGATTTATGCTCAGCCTTCTCAACACCAGGAATTACAAAAGCTCATGTTATACTTAGTAGGGAAGAACACTGAGATATTTTAGCTACCAAGCTCTATAAAGTCTTTAACAAGCATGTATGAACAGTTATTTTTCACAGCCTTATCTGGTCAAATTGGGTGGCTTTCTTTACGCCTCAACTATTCGCAAAATTTTCTGGAAAAGACTGGGGGGGGATCTGGCATACAAAATAGAGTTCAAACAGCAGAAATCTGTCCGAGTTGTAAACAGCTAACAATATAGGGAGGCTTCCAGCCATCTTAATTAGACTACCCTGCTCTTAGAATAATCATCATTAGATAAAAAGAAGTACAAGACTAAGTATCTACTATTAGTTAGTTTTTGAAACTGCAAGGGATGACTTCTAATACCAAACTATGCATTCAAACTCTTAACCAATATAAAACAAACTTTAAGTAGCAATATTTTGCTAAAAAAGGACATTTAGTATGCCAAGCCTTTAGAACAACTAATTGTTTACAGCTAATAGGAATCCCACCACCCCTTAGCATGATATTAAGCTTACTTTAAATGCCAAAAGAAGAAGTGTCCTATCCTTTGATTGGTCAGTGCCTTCTTGAGTAAAAATCTCACAAGCTGATTATCTAAATACTGTTCATATTTCAGAACCTAGTTAAGGATATAAAGAGAACATTAGCAAAAATATCAGCTGCAGTTATTATTTTTATGAACAATATACAGATTAAAGGCAGTTAAATAAAAAGTAATCTATGTTTTACATTAAGTTTTGTAGAATGACTGATCTTGGTATTAATACTTGCATGTGTTAGAATTTGAACAATATCTGCTGACAGTGCATTGGCTGCCTTTATTTTAGGGACTTACCATCTAATGCTTCCTTTACTGTTACCAAATATTTTAGCCTAACTTCCTCAAAATTTTGAGGAGATGCTTCTGCTCATACTCTTCCATATGTTAGGACAGCTGAAATAGCTCCCTGTTCCAGTTGGTAGAACAGTTCTGCATCTCTGCAAAATTTTGGCATTTAATATCAACAAGCAAAACCACAGCACTACAGAAAATGAACTACATTTCATCTTCTCCTACTAAATAATTCGCAATGCAAACAGATACTTTCAATGACCTCTTTTTCACATCACCTTAACTTTTGTGGTATTTTAAGCCTCTGTGATCATCGAATATACACAAGACATCAAGTATACCAAAATATGTTATATACCTGTACTAGCTGGATTAAGTACTGAGACAGTTTGTCGTCTGTCAAGTACTTCTCTAGACACCGAACTGCAAAAGCTCGCACCATTGGATCTGGATAATTACAGTCCAAAAGCTCCATTGCTTGCTCTGGCTTGATTGGAGGCCAATCCTTTACTAAACAGTACATCTGTGGACAAGAAGTCCAAGCACGTTACACATTTGCATTGATTAGGAAGAAGTTGTAATACACAGCCATTAGAAGGTATCATCAGACACAAACTGCTTCTAAGTAGAAGCTGTTTACTCGCTAGTCCTCTCTCAATAAAGAATTTGGTATTAGTTGCCAGCTGACTTTGTTATTTTATCCACTATAAAAAGAACGAAAACAAAACCTCACATTTAACTGTAATTGACAAGTCAGCAACATAACAAGGATTCAAGTAATGCCACCAAGAGGAAATCCTAAGACTCAAACTGAGCTAAAGAACAAGAATTATGGACCACTGATCAGTCAGTTATAGTAGCAACTCGAATCATCTAAGTTTACATTCAACGAAAAATATAACATGTTTTTAACTTCCAGAAGTTTTCTTTAGAATACCATACTTTAAAGCTTCTTCAAAACTTAAAACTTCTTCAGTGCTACATGTTACCTGGGCCACTTCATCTCTAGAATTCCATTTAACAGACAGAAGTAATTTGGGCAGAATTTCTGGAGTATTCACGCAATAGTGTCTGTGAAAGAGAAAAAAGTTGTATGTACAAAATGTCATTTTTGCTTCAATAACTATCTACTATGTCCCCTCAGTCTTGCATCTTTTTCTTCTTCTGTCAGCAGAATCCAATGGATACCATAAGGTGGTGTCAGGATCCATGCATGAAGGTAAGACTGCAGTAATGGGGAAAACGTAAACTAATTCAACAACTTACTTTTCTCCAGGAACCAAGACATACAATGCAGAATGCTTTAAAAGCCTTTTCTAAAACACTAACCCCAACAATACAGAATAAAGAAAAGGGAGCAAAACCCAAGAAATTCATGACAAATTTGGAGTGAACGGTACAAAGTTTGACTGCACCAACAAGGGTTTTTCTTTGGTTTGGTTTTTGTTTTTAAATACCTGTGGCTCCAGAGGAAGTCCTTCTCTTGCTCAGTGATTTCAGACAGAGGATCTCGCGTACATATGGCTCGCAGTTGCTCCTTGTCACTTTCTCTTAATTCATTATCTCTAGCTATTCTGTTACTCTGCAGAGAGAAAGTAGTCCATTAACTTTCCACATATTTCCTTCTGTTGTCATAGAACATACAAGTAGTAAAGTATTTTAACAGCATAGCAACACTTAAAGCTTATGTCATGCAATACTATCTTGTTGTTTCCTTTTATTATAACTGAGGACTTACAATTTAAAAATAGAGAGAGATGAAAGACTAGGCCTTTGATTTCTACAACTGCTTTAAGTCACTACCGGCACAAGAGGTATATTTCAACTAAGTCAGCTGTGTGGAGAAATAGCAGTTGACATCTGATAAACAACAATGCAGCACAAAATGAAACTGGTCATTTCTGTTTCCAGTTTTGAGATTGCTGAGAGCTGCTGAAAGGAGTGAAAAAGCATCAGAACTGAAAAAGCAGAATATGGGGGATGAAGCTAGGTAAACAAAAGGTGGAACACTGTAGGAAAGCCTGAGTAACAGGAAGGCTGGAAAACATTAAGCAGAATTAGTATAAGATATTCCCCAAAGAGCACAGAAAACAGAACTGGTACACACTGAAACTAATTTTATCTAAGACTTCATTTATTAGAACCAGCTTAGGCCAATGGCAGAGGTATTGAAACTACTACTACTTGATTTTTCACAGTTCATGTGCCAAGTTCAATTTTTCTCCTATACTTCCCATTCCTTAGTTCATTTAACGTGTTTTTCGCAAAGCAACATATGAAATGATGCAGTTTCTGAAGTTTCAACTACAGAATAATTGCACTGCAAAAAAGAAATCTTAAGCAGCTTGTATTATTGCCTTTAGTATAAAATACAACTGTAATAGACAAGTTTGACACTTAAGATGAAGCCATCCCAAAAATTCTACAGGAGTTCAATAGTGGTTTTATAGTGAACTCACATTTTCACACCTGTATGATACCTACTACTACAAAAGAATGAGATCAACTCTTTTTCAAGTTCAAATTGTTTAAACTGTAGAACCACAGTGTTTGACCTCTTGTTCTGCTCTTTCCTTAGGCAATTTCTGCTGAGCACGTTAAACAAAATAATAAGCAAGAATGAACTGAGCTTTGTCTGCCAGTTTTGTTGATGGAAATTTTCAACTGGTTGAACTAGTACTTCGAAACAGAAATACCTACATGTCTTTTACAGAAAGTCTTTCCAATACATCTAGCTTTAAAAAAAAAAAAAAAAAAACGGCTGAAAAAAAGAACAATCTGAAATTTCCGGATAGGAGATCAAGGCACCCTTTAAAAGGTGAAGTGGTGTTATTTCTAAGAATATGCACAAATATAGAAACAATTGTCAGGTTATACCACATGATATCTACTTCAGACTGAAAGTTCTCTACTTTACATTTATCTTTAATTACATAAATTACGTGTTCTCATGATGGGTTCACTACTATTATATGGGACAAGAATATTCTGGCCTTCAAGCTTACATCTACCAATATTAAGGTATGAATCAATCAACTCACAGGATTTTTAGTACCTTGCCCTGTTAGTAGTGTGATAGTGAGATCTTAGTGCACCAACATGGTTTTTTTATTACCATTCTGAAGCACATGGACTGGTCTTAGGAGTGGGGGAAAATTATTCAGGACTACTCTCTATGTAGCACCGGAAAATTTCTTGAACACATTCTTAAATATTATGGTAACAGATACAGTGCAAGCAGCAAAGCCAGAGTCATTCTGTAAGGAAGTTAATGGATAAATGACTTTATAATCACCCTATTCCTGACATAAGATCAAATAGTTGATATTGAACAAGTGATTAATTGTACATATTCATCTTGATTCTGAAAGAGTCATCCTAAATAGTAAGTGAAAGTCAAAAAAGTATAAAATGTACCTGCATAGTGGGTCAGAAAGATCATAGTTTAGGTCAAGGCCAGAAGGAAAATGCATTTATCCTGTTGCGGTCAACACCAAAAACTTGAAATTCTATGAATTGTGGGACAGTAAATTAGATTTAATATTTGAAAATTCTTTCATATTTGAGATATTAATGGACCTATAAATGATCTCTTATAAGTATGTATTAATTGATTTTTAAATGCAGTGTAATGCATTTCAAGGTTAAACAAAAAAAAGTTACGCTCTTTGTATTATAACAAAAACATTTATATAGAAATCATACCTCAGGGACTGCTTTGCTGATTTTGACCATTTCAGACAAGCATTTTTTACCTCTTTCAGATATGGCCAATGTTACACAGTAATCTAGTATCCAATTTTTGAATGAGTAACAACACATTACCTTTTAACTTCCTAAATATAGTTAATAGTACAAACAGCTATAAATATGCACAGTACCTGAATATAGAAAGTTTGGCTTCAGTCCTGAAGACACCACACATTAAAAGATAAAGGGGACAAATACAATACTAAGAGATAACTAGTGATGTTCAAACTTACCAAACATTTAATGAAATGATTTAAGAAAGGATAAGTAATAAGAGGATTTTGGCAGACAATAAGGAGGGCTGAAAGAAAAGCGGCATGAATAATGAGAAAGAGAGACCAAAGCAATGATACACAGTTTGTTTCCCTGTCAACTTAGTCATTGATGCAAATATGCTTTCTCCATATTTAACCACTACGACCTTCTTCTAGAGTATTGTAAGGATTATCACAAAAAAGAAAAGGCAATAACTTGAAACTTTATTCTACCTCAGAATGTTGGGGTTTTTTTAATTGTAAAGTGTAAGTTGATCATTACTTTGTCACTGAAGTGAGCGCTTATTCTCCTCACCATTTTCTATTTTTGCCTACAGGTGGAACAAAACAATGAGTTGAGCATATATATGCCCAGGTAATAGGCTGTGTTATAGCAAAGGAATGTTATTTACCAAGAAGCCAGCTGTCCTTAAACACTTAAGAGTCCTGCAGCACTGCTCAGTCACAATACGTATCATAAGCAGATACGCCACTCTATGATGGACTTCCTGTAGAGTATCAAGAGAAATCAAATGCCTACAACCCTTTGTTCAAGATTTGCTGAGATGGGACTGTTATAAATATCACCAGAATTCCCAATCTGGAAGCTTAGTGACACCTATGCACTTTTTGGCACAGTGAAACTTTCCACCCCGAGACTCTTCTCCACGCAGACCACAAGCTCTCTTGGGGAAACTCTCAAGTCTTTGAACCAGCCTCCAGAAGAAAGTGTAAAACATAACAACTAATTTCACAGCCTTGTCTTTAAATACATAGCATTTTCAGCTCTACCGCTTTTCTTTTTTTCTCCTTTTAATCATCCAAAATGTGCTTTTAATAAAACTCCAAGCCTCACCAAAAAGCCAATTGTCAATGCACAGATTTTCTTCATGGAAGAGAGGAGATAAAGGACTACACTCAGGTGTATGCCAATCAATTCTCTTAGAATTCCCTGTACTTGTGGTCATAACTAGCCCATTAAACAGCCAGTAAAGAGTTATAAGCACCTTTAGGTTACAGAAGAAAGCCTACCTGTAGACATGAAATTGCAACAAAGTGAAACAGTATCATTGAAGGAGAATTATGACTTTTGAAAAGTTAAACTAAGTAGTTTAGACATCTGAATTAGCGATAAAAAAAGTCAAAAAGGCCCTAACAGTTTGCACAGTAAGACAGTTTCTCTAAAGTGTTTTGGTTCGTCAGTGAATCATTAGGTCAGTTTACTGGTAATATAAAGAAATGAGAATATATTACTCACTTTGCTAAACACAAAACAAAAAATTGATTTTTTGCTTTTACAAATAAATCAGGATACATGTAAAAAAGTTTTCTTTATCACTAATATACTGACTAAAATAATAGTTTCATATTTTAGTAGCTGATCTTGGAAGGGGAGTTTGCCTTACCAGCCCCGCATAGCTGTAGTTAAACCCCAGTTCACGTGATATAGTCCAATTGGCATGTTCCTCGATCACCGTCATATCTGGAAACTTTACAGGATTGCTAAACCAATCAAATTCCAGCTCTAAACATGGAGTTTCCTATATAAAGGGAATTTAAATTACTTTTTCTGTTGAATGATACTAATTATAATACAGCATATTTTATGAAAATGTACTCCTAAAAAGGAAACCGGCATGCAAATACTTACCTTATTTGGATTTGATCCAGTAACACCAATAGGATTCAACAAATCCTCCAGCCCATGAGGCACTGCCCAAAGATTCAAAGCCATTTTCCCAGATACAAGAGTGTCTGTATAATCAAACATGTTTATATTTCCCCAAGCCAATGGACAGTGCTCCTTAAAGAGATTAAAAGATGATTTTTCAGTGTCATCTATTAATTGCTGCAGAGTGAGTCAGGAGAAATAACATTTTCACCCCAGAGCAAGCTGTTACATTCCCAGATTAGCTGAAAGCAGGTGGTGGAAGCTGTACCATGGTTTTCTATGAATGACTGTCATGGCAGTCATTTTGCAGAATGATATCAAACTTGCAAACACATGCTAACATTTTCCCCACATCAAAATAACTCAAGATGACAGAGAGAATTTTTTTTGACAGATAGAGACACTTTTTACCAAGGCCTGTAGCGACAGGACAAAGGGCAACAGTTTTAAACTGAGAGAATAGGTTTAGATTTTTTTAAGACGAGGGTGGTGAGACACTGGAACAGGTTGCCCAGAGAAGTTGTGGATGCCCCATCATTGGAAGTGTTCAAGGTCAGGTTGAGTGGGGCTTTGAGCAACCTGATCCAGTGAAAGATGTCCCTGGCCATGGCAGGGGGTCAGACTACATGATCTTTAAGGGTCCCTTCCAACCCAAGCCATTTTATGATTCCATAAGATTCATAAACCTGGTTGTAGACAAAAAACTATACAGTACCTGCGACACACACTCAAACCCAGAATTTAATGATGCCGGTGGCTAGAATTAGATGCCATATGTAGATTCTTAAAAATTACTATTTGGGATCTTGCATCAAATGCTAAAGCAGCACAAATTTTCTTTACTAATTTTCTACAAATCAACTCTAAGTTCAAGTATAAATATTGCCCTTTTTTAATAAATAGGTAAGTAACTCCTGGGTTTAGAAACTTGAGTTTAAAGGCACTTGCACCTCAAAAGACTAACACTGATCTTTGTGTCTGGCAATACAGTATAGACATGATTTACAGCATTGAACGGATAAGCTTTTTTCCATGTTGTTTAATTTCTGACCACATAAAAGTGGTAGTCTGAATTAGATACAAGAAAAGAAAAAATGCTATTTTAATCAGATTCAAATCAAACATTGGACGAAGACTCATTGTCAGGACAGCATTTACCAAATATCTTCCCAAACTTGACTTAAATAGCTTTTGTTCGTTAGTGTATTAAAGCCGTGAAGTATTTTACCTCTTTAGCACCCTTCCGGCCTTTAACAGAACAGATAGAAAGGCAGAGCCGAGCAGCACGTGGAAGATCAGGAATGTACATGTCATACAATAGCCATTCATTCCATCTGTAAGATTTAAAAAGCAGAAAGGCTAAAGGAGAGCGTAGAGACAACTGCATTCAATCAACAATTATACCAAAAAGCATTTGTTGTATTCCTACCTAAAGTATATGCGCGCATAAAGAGTACACTTTCTTACTGAAGAAGGGTCCTCCTATATGTTTTGACCACATCTACTTCTTTTTGGGAAAGGAAACTTCCCCGATTAGCCTTCTAGCACCAACACTGTTTAAAAAGTCACACTTAAAAAGTCAGGTTCAGTTCCTGCAAACTTAGTGATAGGTTCATTCACTTTCACTGTTGCAAACCTACTGACTGCAACCGTCAGTGTAGGTATAACCTCAAGATAATGGATTTGCATATGTGCTACACTCATGTAAGGTTTAGCTTGTGAAATATTTTTCACTTCAGGGGAAAAAAAGCAAGTGGGAAAAAACATGGCATAGCTTTCAGAACTCAGCTAAATTTGAACTGCTAGAAAATAAAAAGATAACTGCAAGATGGGAATATAACACAGAAATATAACACAGAAATCCAAAGCAATATTCCTAACTTAGATATTATTCTATTTACCATAGTAATAAAAGCACAGATTGGTTCTACAGGAATAGACATTTTGTTTTCATGAACTCCTCTAAGTAGACTTTATCTGTCAATTGGCAGAACTGTGCTTTTGAAAAGGAACTTCTGAATTCAGTTTATTTTCCTAAGCAGATTCCCACACTGAATTTTCTCAGTTGGAAGAGGCAGCAGCTTCCAAGGACAGCATTAATTTTTCAGTGTGTCTGTAGCTACTAAAAGCAGTTTTACAAAGAAATAACTGTCCAGGCCCTTCTTTAAGAATGAAAAAATTGGCAGATGAACACATAAGAAAAATGAATTAAAGTTTATTTCATATAATACAGATCTGTGTGATTATATCCATGTTTTCAAGCCACACCCTTCACCACCTTTCTAAGAAGATTTTCTCTCTAAAACAGTTAAACTATCAGTTCAAGTATAGCTATCTTTGGGGAAACTCAGAGGGAGAGTTTTTCAATAACTGCGTATATTATTAGGCTCTCTAATTATAACACCTAATCATATTAATAGAAAATGTACAGACAAAAAATATTAATAAATTTTGAAACTTTCAAAGACATGAAGTCAGACAGAAAGTGCAAGCCAAGAATTACTTCTTAACACATACTTTGCATCTTATCCTAGCAGATACCGAAATTTCATACCTCATTAGTCAAAGTTACAGGCAGAAATTCAACATCTTTTTGATACTTTTTCTCAATATGTTTATATATGCTCATACAAAGCTTCTTTTTGCACACTAATGGTACTTTTAAGTCCATGTGATTTATTTTTCCAGATAATATTCATGGTAGGTCAAATCTCCTGAAAATAATCAGCCCAGAGCTGGCAGTGACTTCCATGCTAGCAAATAATACCTACCTCTCCACACTCAGTGGTTCTGCTTTAGTACACACTCTGCAACCTCACCGAAACAAATTTGCAGGCTACATTACATCACATTGCCCCATGCTGAAGGTGCAATCTGAACCTGCAACTGGAACACCTGCTATTGATCCACAGTCAAAACCAGAGCTCAGTCGCCCAGAGCTGTGCTGATTTCACAGTATTAATGGGTAATTATATTGGAGTTTCAGAGGCAACTGCAAATGTACATGTAAAACAGATCTGTTCAGTAAAAGAAACTATACTATTATATGCAACGAGACAAAATATCTACATTTGAATTAAGTTAATTCTATTTATAAATATAGGGTTAGGTAAAAATGTTCTTACAAAACTTAAGGCAAGGAATTCCCAGCAAGGAGCTCTACCTGAATAATGGCTAAGTCGAGCCTTTACTCCTTCAGTGCTATCATTTATGATGCCCTGGAAGTCAGGTTCTCTACCGTTGTTCAAGTACTTAGCTTACCTGGGATTAGAACAAGGTACCCTTTGAGTATTCACATTGTCACACAAAGGTTCCCCTCCATGGTAGATACCTGTTCTAACATAGATCTGAAAACAATGTTAATATTAGTACTATCTTTGAAATGTTACTATAAACAATTTTTTTCACTGCTATCAACATATACTATGATTACAACATATTACCCCTTAATTTCCATCAAGTAAAAAACAAAAACAAAACTGAAAACCAAACAGCCCCACCACCCCCTGACCCAAATTCATTCATGCTCTGCAAGTAGTATCTAAGCATAGCCTTCTAGAAAAAAATCTTTTAGGTCTTTTTCCTCATTAATTGCAAAACTAGTTCTTAAAAATACAATAATAAACTTGAAATGAACTCTAAAAAACCCTGGAATTTATTTTCAATTCTTCCTGTGCCAAGCTATAGTGAAAGAAAAGACCAAACAAATTCTGAGAAAGTTAGACAGCCAAGCTTGTAGTATGACTTCAATGGGACTGAACCCTACCTGCCTCTTCTCCTTGACCTTCCAATACCTCCCTTTTTAAAAACAAAGACAGCAGCACGCTATCCAGCATCCCCTCATGAAAGTATTCCCAATTACTGTAATACATTTTAGACATAATAATTATTTAGAATATAAATAACAACATCGGTTTTATTCTTCTATCCATTACATACTGAGCTGAAGTGAACTATGCAAACTTGAGTTCTGCTCCTATCAGGCAGAATATTTAGCTAAATACCACAACTCATGCCTTTTAAGTAGTACACAAAAGTTTTCAAATGCTAAAACATGACTGTATTTTTTTAGAATTGAGTGCTTAAATTTAAATAACAAAGTGATCTAGTTTTCTAACATGTTAAATAATACCTTTTTCCCCAATATAAACACAGAACAGAAAACTGCAGGAGGGAAACCATGAGTTGCTGAAAACCATATACAATGCCATACAGCATTTGCCTTACCTTATCTATGTCTCTAATGTTCACATTTACATAGGTTGCACAGAGGATTCTTATTCTGAGAGCACTATTTATAGTCCACAGGGATTTGGCTGTAGCTTCTCCATTCATGTAGGGTGTAGCTGTAGAGATACGCCTGGAATAAGACGGCATTGTAAAGGTGTCCAGTGGCAGCTGGGTATATAGGCTTTCCTTAGCCATCAGCATCAGATTGGGCATGCGACCAAGCATTATACAGCTTCTTATATACTGCAAGAAAGCAAAACCAAAATTAAATATGTTTTCAAAGTGTACCCTCTTGGTAATCTATACTTAAAAATATTCAGGAAAATACAAAGGTAAAAGCATATTTAAAGAGCTTATCATTGTCCCTGTATGTACACCCTTTACTACACAGTAGTGCTTCATACTGATTTCGAGATGTGAATAACATCTGCAACGGTGGAAGGTTAAACTGGAGATAGAGAACAGAGCTGACAAAATGACAAGTCAGGTTTCTTGTAGCGCTCCTTAGCTCTGGCGCAGCGCAGCACAAACAAAGCAGACTGCTTCTGCTTCCAGATTAGAGCTGTTCCTGGAAGCAGTTGAGCTGTTTTTGCACAGCAAGCTGCTGTACTAGCCTGCTGTGCAGACCTAGCACAGGTGACACTGATACTCCTAGTCACAGGCAGACAGCTCAAGACAAACGGCAGACACTCATTTTTGGTTCAGTTGTGATTACCTCACGCTCAGCACTGATCCCGACAGACTCTAGCTGCAAGCCTGTATGGTGTCCATTCAGGACTGAGTGCTGAGAGCATTTAGTCTGGCAACAGTACCACAAAATACAATGTGTTAAGACAGGTCCAGCTCTGGAGTATAATTAGCAAGCTCTTTTGCGGCACAGTAAAGGCATAGCAGATACTTCTGAAGAAACCACGCTAGATCAAATAAGTCTAGTGTTTGATCTCAAGATGACTGTGCAAAATTATTCATGTATGCCCGCACTTGTTCCCGAGCTCCCATACTATAGAGCTGCTTTTCCCATTATTCCGGATCCCCAGCCCCCTTCTCTCCCCCATTGCTCTGCAGAGCAGATCGTCAACCATTTTAGACGAAGGAATTGAAGCTGTTTATTACAATACATTCCTTAAAGAGGAAGCAGCAGCAATCTGTCAGGAAATCTACTGGGTAACAGTGTTGTCTGCTCCAAAGGGCTGCTCAGATGCTCTTCAGTCAGCAGTTCTGTCTCACACCCACAGCACTAAAAAAACCCAGGCTATGAAGGACAGACAGCCACAAGGAAGATTTAACAATGATTTATGTAGTGCTGGAAGTTTACCACTCCTTTAATAGGATCAAAAAATTTAAAGATTTAAGTAACAGGAAAAAAAATAGTTTGTTTTGATTTTTTCCACCCCTAAAGGTGGAAGCGACAAGATTCATAATAGCAATGGTTGCGTCATAATTTAACATCTGATTGAATTTCCTTTTGTATTACATCAACCCCATTCAAACATAACTCATCTCTTGCCATCAGAAATCTAAGATATTTCTGAAAGTACCTACCACTGATTTATCACTAATGTTAGAGGTAAACTACTTCATTCAAAGAAGAAAAGTTATGCTAGTGATAGAAATTCTAGTTTAAATTACCTTTTCTCCTCCCCTCTCTTTTGAAGCACATACAGCAACAAATAGGCACACTACACTCACACATTAGCCAATTAGTTTAAAGACGCATACACTATTACTTCCTGTGTTTTGGATTAATTTAATGAAAAAGCAAGCCAGTCACAAAATAGATCACTTTCCTCCCCTCACAAGTTTGCATTATTTTAGTGTATTTCAAAATAAATCCATTATGTTACTCACCTTATACTGGCTCAGTGGATATTTTTCTAGCAAGTATTCATCACAGCCACACACTTTTAAAATGTATTTGCCCTGGTACTCCAAGACACAAAGTTTCAGTTGTTCAGATGACAGCAACATACTTCGCGTTTTCTTCCTAATTGCTTCAGCAATAACTTGCTCAGGCACACAGTCATGATTGATTTTTAAGGTGTATTTCTGCTTGTCATTGTTTGGTGAGACTATTACCCATATCACCACTATAATTTGCCCTAGAATTAATGTAAAATAATGTTAGGCCTATCATTTTCAATACAGTTTCAAAACAAAAACCAAAACAACCACCCAAAAAACCCAGAACAAACAACTCCCACCCCCCCAACACAGAGAATCGCTTGCAGTACTACTGAAAGAAGATGTAGACAAGATTCATAGCCCAAACTGACAGAGGGTTTGTAACTTCTGCAGGGAACCGTGTGTGCTCAGTTTATTTTTGACTCTAGTGTAAATTCAAACTTTTACCCCTTGAGATTAAGAATATTTTTATTAACCAAATACTACCGACTATTTAGCCTCCAAGAAAACAGCAGTAACTGTTTTGTATTTGAGGACTGCAAGATAACTCAGTGATTCAGCATCAGTTAATTCTAGACTTCTGAATGTCAGAGAAAAGAAAAATGCAAAGCCAACAAGCTGTTTCTGCCCATTAAAAAAAATCACCTCTATTTACCAAGTTATATTTCAAGATTCAGTTATTACAATAGCAAAAAATCTAGTTTTATTTTAAGTGTTGTCTTCCTTTTGAATCTACACTCTATCAAGAAAGTTATTCTGAGTAACTTAAGCTGTAAGATACTGCTAGAGTGTGCTAAATACAGTACGTATACCAGCGATTTACCTAAGTCACCAGCTGTACTCTGATTTCAATCACTGAAAAAAACCCATTATGTTTCTACCATAAATATTTATCTTACCTTTATCTAGTTTATTGTATATGTGTTTGGGTAGCTCAGGTGAAGACTCTACATTTGGAGGACAGACATATAACGCTCTACTATGTGGTGCATTGGCATCTCGAAGATCCACCGCTTCTTTACAAACATTAAGAATATTCCTTCTGAAGTCTTGTACTTCTGGATCCTTAACCATGTCAAATTCACAGACAGGCATGCCAATAGCAAAACCTACAGTATTGAAGAATCATGAGGAAATAATTGTAACTGATAATTAAAGCCAAAGTTTCCTTCTATCAGTGACAGAAAAAGCATGCTTTAAGCAAAACAATCTAAAATATTTGTGTTAACCACTGGCTTCTACTTGTACGCATAATTGTTTTATTTCATTCAAGAGCAACTCAGTTCTAAAGTTAAGTGCACTCAGCAGTCACAGAAAAGGTTAGAAGACAGGTGTACATTCACTGAAGATGCTGGAAGCCTTACATCACCACTTTCACAGCTAACACTCCTCCTGGAGGAAAAGGACAAGTAATAAACTTCCTTTGAAGTCAACACAAAGTTTCCTAAGTGGACCAGAGGAGCTGTGATGTCCGATTTTGTCTAAAACCCTAGCAGGACTATTGGTAGCTATTAGGACCATAATTAACTTCGCTTACAACTGAATGACAACTATACAATTTTTTTGATGAACTACGCTATTTAAAAACGTGACAAGCACTCCAAGAGATATTGAACTTGGCTCTTTGGCACAGAGTCATGTAATAAGAGTCCATTTCTCTTAGGTCCTCTGTCTCAGATGTAATTCCATTTACTTTAATGAGATTACTTGCATAAATAATTTTTTATGCATGAATGTTCAAATGGAAACTTTCAATTGTCCTGTTGCATGGTTAGCTAACCACTGTTCTCCTTAAGTCTTGAACAGGTTAAGCTTTACAAAACAGATGTAGTTTACCTATGATGCATTCATAACAATTAAATAATTTAACAATTAGGAGCACCCCAGAACAAGTATTTCCAGTTGACAAGTCTCCACCACTGCAATGTACATCTGTTAGCAACTAAAAGGGAGTAGGTATGCTTGTACAGCCTGAATTTAGATACTTAACCTAGATGCTGAAACATACGCTAGTCTCCCTGTGCTTTCTCAATGGATAAAGGAAAATGGTAAGCTACTCCAGAGATGATTCAGAACACTACAATTTGTCTCCCCTCCGCCCCTCCAACCTGAGGTATTTTTGTTTCCCTCCCCTCCCCCATGCTCTTTTTGTAGGAAAGGAGGGGGGGAAAACTAATTTCTGAAATTTTACTTTGTAAGCAAGATAGGGCAGCATTAAAATGTGTGCTATCGCAAGTGTGGTTCAAGATTTGTAATTAAATCCATAATTTAAAATTCTGTAAACTTCAAAACAAATTAAGATTGACATCCCAAACAATACAACAGGCTTCGCTCTGTAATAATATGAAATCCTGCTAATAAGAGACAAGCAAAAAATACCCTCTAACCCATGTACAATTACAGATATATACAAAGCAAAGACTTTACATGTGAATGAAACAGAACAGCAAAAAAGTTTAATTCACAATTTACGAACGTCAGCTTTACTATGACCAGCATCTTTGGACATTTGATGCAACAACTGACAGTTACAAAATGCAAACTTTGACAGATACAGGGTAACAAACACAACCCATTTCAATTCTTTGTTTTGCATCTTGAAGAGGAGAAGCCAGTTAAACAGATTAGCTATGTTTAAATAAAGATAATCTCACCTATTTCTCTATTAAGAATCTTTTCTTCTCTGTTACCTACTGGTTCAATGACTTTTAGAAAAGGCTGAAATAGTCGCAGGTCACAAAGTCTCCTTGTTTCATCAAAAAATTCTTCTCTTTCTGCTTCTTGTGTAACACTTACAAAAATGTAAGAAGATTCATCTTGAAGGAGCTGATATAGAGGGTATTTTCTCGCTTCTTTGAAGAGTTCATGTTTAATAGTTAGTAAGGTGGCCTCACGGAGGCATTCTAGAGTCACTATCATTCCATTTGGGAGAAGACACTCCACAAGGATCCTCGGTGGCATCAAGTGGATGCCCCATAGTTCGCCAGATGATGGCCGTGGAGGCATTTTTAAGTCTTTAGATAACTTTGTACTGGAAGTTTTTCAAGCAGGGATTCGCACAAGTAAACCTAAGTAAAAATCAGAAATTTAAATATTAAGTTTAAAATACAAGCATCACAAGGAATTTCAGATAAAATTGTTCAAAGAAAGCTTATAATTGTAGATGAATATTCATGGCTATATTTTACATCCATAAAAAAGAAGACGACTTGACAAAACTGATGCCTAAGGAACTTGTATTTAATGTAAATATCTACTCAAATAAACAGTTAATATCAGAATCACATTAATTTGGGAAAAATGCCAATATGCATATGGTCTTAAAAAAATAGAGGATTACTTTTTTTACCTGAAGTTTATAATTTATGATTAGAACACTTACATAGCATGGGGGATGAAAATATCTAGTATTCAAATTATTATCACAGCAATTTTTAAGCAAATCCCAAACCCAGTTCTTCACATTTTTAATTTGGAAAGAGGAACATTTATCATTTGGATGAGATACAAACCACCAGCTCTGCTCAGTTTAGCCAAACCAATGCTTCAATTTTTTTTTTTTTTTAAAAACTTTTTCTCGTCCCAAACCTCTTAAGTACTCAAACACCACTAACATAATAGTTATAAGTATTTACTAAAACCTCTAAACTTGATTTTAAGAATTCATGTACACACAAAACTTCGCCTTAGCTTTTCTAGATCAGTATAAGCTACTTACACCAGCAACAAACCCTTTTTTCCATGAATGAGACAGAAGACCTGAGCTCCATTAACACTTTTTAGTTGGGCTTGTTTTATTTAGGATCAATTCCCTGTTCTAGTTGCCTTTGGCAGCCACATGAATGTCTTTGCCAAGCCAAAGGAAAGGAGGGGAACACGTGCCTGACCTTCTAGCAGTGCTGCCTTATGCCAGCTTAGAGTAGGTACAAGAAAAATTTTATCTGGACAGAGCAGAGATGTGTTATAGCCCAGTGGCCAAGAACAGATGCCAAACAAAGAGCAGAAGAACTAAGCAGGCACACAGTAATATTTCATCAATAAACTCTCCTAATCGCTACCAATTTTTGATTTCCTTAACCAGAGGCAATATTTTCGTATTTGTGAAAAAAAGTCCATCAGGAACTATTGAGTTTGTCCAGGAAGTTTTCACACACAAACTGCTGGCATCCCATGACAAGACTGAGGAACATTCCATGTTACAAAATATTTCCTTTTCTTTGTTCTGAAGCCTGCAACTTTCACCTGATATCCTAGATTTCTTGTAATGAAATGAAGTTCCTTATCTTTGCATTCATTGCTCTTAATTTTACAGAGAGCCATCAAGTCCTCCCCACTACTTCTTTTCCACAATAGTCCCAGCTTATTTAGTCCTTCTCTGCCCAAAAGTCATTCCATATTTTTGTTAATCCTTGTCACCTTCTCTGTATCCCTACCACATTTACCATACCCTTTTTGCAAGGTAGAGGGGGAACAACCATATCTGCACACCGCATTCAAGGTCTAACCTGAGCACGCGTTTTACACAGCGACATAATATTTTCTATTGCTTTCCTAATAAGTTACTTTTCTGACTGTCACTGAGCAGCAAGACATTTTCACTGAACTACAACTTAAGTTCTCATTGCAGAACAGTAAGTTACTGCAGAGGCCATCACACGTTATGCAAATCTCAAATAGTGCATTACTTACACTTAGCCTGTAATTTTATTAACTTCAGCATGTACATTATGAGAGAGGGCAATATCAACAGACATCTAAAGAGCAGTCCATCATCCATCACATCGCCTCCATCAACCAAGTGTCCTGAAAGCACAGGGCTAAGATAACTACCAGGCTATAATTCTAAAGCCATTCTTAGTCATTTTTTAAGTCAAGATCCCTCTTAGGACTGCCCCTCTATCTTAGTTTCTTTTCTTAACAGACAGGAGGGAAAAACCCAAACCAACAGCTTCACACCTCTTCTGTTTCATCAGCTTTCTGAAAGCTCCAACTGTGGAAAAGCAAATGAATGCTATGCTTGCCCTCTGCTCAGCAATTTTTAAAAAATTTATATAAATTTATGTATATAAAAATATATATACAATTATA